TTTTTTGTAAAGTATTGCATGAATTTTACGAATACATATTGTAAAGGAAGCAAGTTTATGGTATGGGAAAAGTAAAAATTGTTGATAAGCGAATAAATTAATTAATTGTTGCAAATTACTAGTTACGGGGAAAAAAAGAAAAAATAAATAAAGTAAAAATCAAAATTTAAACAGTTCAAAAATAAAATTAATAAAAAATGTATTCACAAATCCTCATAATTTAACCGCAAACATTCTTAAACTCCTTTTACAATAACCTAATTGCCAAAAGTGTCGCTTCTGCTAGTACAGGAACAACACCGTGGATTATGTTCCTTGTATAAGTGGTTGTGTGCACTTTCCGTAAAAAATTGCAATTTGCAAACAAATACAAATCAAAATAATAATAATCAAGTTTACACCAAATAAATTCAGAACTTACAAATAAACCAGAAACAAAAAATAAACGCTAAAAAACTCTCAAAACAAACCACAGCAGCAGCGGAAGCAGTTTAAGTCCGTGGCACGGCCAGGCAATCAGCCACCAAACCAGCACTTCAACAAGAACGAACAACTACAGCAAGCGCAAATAGCAAAATTTTTAAGAAAACCACAATAAAAACTAAACAAAAATCTTGCAACTAATGAAACCAACAACAACAACCAAACAAGCTTACAACCAAACCGCCGACCAACTAGCCGAAAAAATCTACTAAAAAAACACAGGCAGTCAGTCAGTTAGTCAGTAGTGGCAGTCAATGCAGTTGTGCAATATTTGCAATGCAACTGCTGTGCAGCAGCAGCTTGCAAGCTAACTACTAACTTGCGCTTTTAGAAGTAACATTACAACAGCCATAGTTGGAGTTAAGAATTGATTTTTGTTTTGTGTTTTTTTTTTGAAAGTGAAAAATCACCACAAAAAACAGTCAAAACTATAAAAAAAAAACTAAAACTTCTAAATGTTACAACTGCAAGTTGTGCAATAATCGCCTCCTCCACTTTTGACCACTGCCACCTTACCCAAGCGTGCGAGCACATAGTGTCGAGAATCGTGTTTGTTTGCATTTTTCCCCTGTGCTGACTTTTTTTTTGGGGTTTTTTCGACAATTGGTTTAACGTCAAATTTCCTGTTATTACTCTTTGCACGCGTGCATAGTTACAAACATACATAAATGTGTTTTTTGGATTTTTGATTGCGCTCCTTACGAAAATGGGTGGACGACGCAACAGCAGCAGCACTTCATTCACAAAAACCAGTGACAGTAAATACAAATGCAAGAAAAGTGTAAGGAGGCTATTAGTTGTGCGAAAAATTAACTATAACATATTAAACGAATTGTAAGTTGCAAAAAAAAAAAATATTTTACAGAACAAAATTTAAAAACAAAAACAGCAAATAAGAATAAGAGAAAACCACAGAAATTGTGAAATAAAAACGAAGGCATTGCGTAAAAATTGTGTAAAATTTAAAGTACAATAAGATACGCCAGCAGTGACAAGCAGAAACATTGCGCTAGTCGCGATTGTGTGCTGGAGAACGCACCTAGCGTTTTTAGATAACAAAACATTAGTGACGAATACAACAAGCAAGAATTGCCAAAATAAATTTTGTGAATAAAGTAAAAATAAAAAATAAATAAATAAAATTGCCAACCAAATTTGCAAAGTAAACCTAAAACATTTTGTTCAAGCAAACAATTGCGAAACTAAATTAAAAAAAAAAATTGTGAAAAACTTCCAACAAATTTAAAAAACAGATATTTGCTTAAAAATAAAAAATTTCACTGAAAACGCAATAATCCTCACTCAAAAAAAAAAAATACCCTCAAAATTATGATAAACTAAATTAAGTGAACATTTGCAACCATAAAGCAAAGTACCTAACTGAGTCATTACAAAGAAACAAAATTAAGTGCAACTTTAAAGTAAACCATTTACCCTCATAAAAAAAATAACCGAAAACAAAACTAAAAGTGCAACCCTGTGTGTGCCTCCGCTGCAATTCAAGTGCAATCTCACTAAATAAAAGCAAAGAAAAAGGCAAAATAAAGCGAGCAAGCCAAAAGCAAGCACATACATACCTACAAATATTTTTCGCAACAACAGCTAAAAAAAAATTTTAGAACAGTGCAACAACTCACCATTGTGCGAACAAACAGTAGCGTATAATAAAAGTGTAAAAGTGGAGACATAAAAACGTGCAATAAAAGGACTTGGGCTACATTGTATGTAACTGCAGCTGTGCGTTTGTGTGCAACTGCCCCCTAACTCACTTCATTTGGCTACACTTCTACACTACTACTCCTCCCACCTGTAAAAACGCTATTACTGCCCTGCAGAAACCGGGCGTAAGTCGCATTGCATAAAAGATGTGTTAAAAACAAGCAGTGAGAATAAGTGATGAAAAATCGAAAAATTGACGTACCTGCAAATAGTAAAAAAAACATATATACATACATACATATATAATTGTTGTGTACATACAAACATAAATCGAGCGCATTGAGCACTTAGCGTTTATTAGCAATAACTTGTATTAATTACATATTTCCATGTGTATGTACATATACACAAGTGTATACGTCATTTGCGTGCAAAAAAGCGGAATAGTAACTGTGTAAAAGGATATGGAAAATTTATTGTTGCAAGAAAGCACCAGCGTCAAGCGAGTTTTTGTGAAAGCTAAAAAGTAGAATAAAGCGCCAGCAAAAAGTGTGAAAAGCAGTCAGAAAGGCATACAAGGTTGCTGGAGAAAGGATAACAGCGCGCTACAACATGCCAAATTGAGTATAAATAAATAAATAAATACTACAAAACAGCAGCAATCAATCAACCAATACACCTCAGCAGCACCACCAAATAAAAAAAAAAAAAAAAAAAATCTATAAAAAATCGATTAATTCAAAAATACGAATTTAAAAAATATAATTATAAGTAGATAAGTAAAAACACAAAGAAACGGTAATAAATAGCAGCAAAAAAAATATAAAAATCTAATTAAATATAAAATAATTTAAACAAAAAAAGATAAAACACTTTAAGAAATATCGACTCACAAAAATTAATATTCCAAAAAAGTAGTACTGTTACAAGTTTACAGCGTAAAGCGCCAACTTATTGCAACCATCATAGCTGTACAGTAACTAAAGCAAAAAATAATAATTTTTGGTAAAATTCACCAAAACTCACGAGTATTTCAACAAGGCAAATTGTATTGTTGCTATTTGGTCGGATAAAATTTAACTTTTTTTATCTTTTTTATGTTTCTGTGAAGTGTGAAATATCAAGAACAACAAGCAAATAGTGCAGTTACTAAGTATTAAAACAGCAACAAGCACAACAACAATACGCAAACTAATGAAATTTTAATGACACCAAGAACTATTGTTTAAACAAAAACGACGAAAAGCATAAGCCAACTCTAGCAACAACAAAAATAACAAAACGAAAAATAGCAGAGGCGTAAAACAAAAGGCCTGAAAGGAGAAGGCGTGTTGTGTTTTACAACAAATAAATACAATAAAAATTAAAACAAAATCAAAAAGGGCCAACAGAAATTCCCAAGCAGTTGTGTGTGGTGTGTGAGTGTGTGTGGCAGTGTATGTTTTTACGTCTATGCATGTCAAAAACTTGTTAATTTGTGCATCGTAAATCATTTCGAAACGTCCAAAGTCACAATATTGTCATCAACAACAACAGCGACGCACTAACAACTCTGTACAGTGGGTGGTGACACACACAGGCAGTCGTCAGTCGCGCAGCAGCAAGTCAGTCGTCAGTCATACAGTGACGCGCGCGCTCGCACATACTAAGGTACCTTCATAGTGACGACGACGACGACGCAGGCAATGCAAACGACCACATCAATTGCAGGCGTGTAAATTTTTTGTTGTTTTGTATCTATCTGCAGCTATTATCAACGCTCTACCTACACGCCCAACAACAACTACACACCTACAACTACATAAATTAGCTACCAATTACCTAAAAAGTCGAAAGGCAATTCAAGCGTACTCACTCAACCTACTACCTGTCAGCCTCGCAGCATACTGTTTACGGTCTTCTCCTACCTTTACGCGTTAAATTTCCGTCCTCCGTCCAACTAGGCCTCCCGCAGCAGCAAGCACATTGCCAGCATTTACTAGCCAAATTAGTACGAATTATTGTTTTCCATCCTGCTGCGGCATACACGTTTTCTTACGTTTCTTCCTGTGAAGCGCACGCGCGCACGCTTAGTTGCAAGCGCATTTCGTTTCACTGTCACACTGCGCTTCATCATTGTTGCTCTGCGCGCCTAGCGTTAGTGGTAGCAACAATCTGCGCGCAGATCTTCTACAAGCGTGACGCGCCAATTCGTTTTGCTGCGCTCGTTTAGAAATTTCTGCATATCTACTCCCTTTAAATGTGTTGCGTGCGCTGGACGCGTTCAACAGCAACAGTGCAAGAGTAGAGTGCGTGAAAAATGTTATTAAAAATGGAACAGCAACAAGCAACAGCGTCGTTTATATCGTCGCTTAATATGTCACCATTCACCATGCAGCTGGATCCACAACAGCCGTCCAGTCCAGCTTTGGGCTGCACGGGCGGTCCCAATAATGGGCAAACAAGCGCCAATTCCAGCGCCGCCTCCAATCGTGGCAGCGGTGGCAATGCAGATGCAACAGCGCTTAATAGCGCCGATGCTGATTATAGCGCTTATGCGCTCCACTTGAGCGCTGGCAGTGGCGGTAATACGGCGGGCAGTGGCAATAATGATGGCGTTGTGGGCAATACGGGCAACGCACATCATCAACATCATCATCACCAGCAACAGCAGCAGCAGCAACAACAACAACAACAACAGCAGCAGCAGCAGCAACATTATCAGCAGCACTATCAAACACAGCAACCGCAGCAGCAGCAGCAACAGCAGCAACAGCAACAGCTGCAGCAGCAACAACAACAACAGAATATTGCCAACAATCCCAACTTTTCATATTCGTATATATATAATTTTGATTCACAATACGTATTTCCGACAGGTTATCAAGACAATACGTCATCACATTCGCAACAGAGCGTTAGCGGCGGCGGTGGCGGTGGTGGCCCGGGCTCTGGCGGTGGTGGTAGTAGCGCCAGTAGTAATGTCACCAATGTTGTACTACTCAATGGCAGTAATCCAAATGCTGCTGGTGGTTATATGACACTCCTGCCACCGGCCACCTCGAGTGGTCAAATGGGCATATCGGCGGGCGGCACAAGCGCTAGCGCTGGTGGTGGCTCCGGTGAGGGTATTGATTTCAAGCATCTCTTCGAAGAGTTGTGCCCCGTTTGCGGTGATAAGGTGAGCGGCTATCACTATGGGCTGCTGACGTGTGAGTCTTGCAAAGGTTTCTTCAAGCGTACCGTGCAAAACAAAAAAGTGTACACATGCGTCGCTGAGCGTTCCTGTCACATCGATAAGACGCAACGGAAACGTTGCCCCTACTGTAGATTCCAGAAATGTCTCGAAGTGGGCATGAAACTTGAAGGTGAGTGAATAATACATTTTTTTAATTTAACCTTTTATTTTTCTATTGAATGGAATTGTATGTTTTTAATATTTAAGAGAAGAATTTTATATGCAAATAATTTCCCTATTAAAATGGTTTAGAATGTTTTAACAGAAGAGCAACAAATAGTAAGGTGTGCGTACATAGGTATAAAATCAAATAAATAAGCCCAATCTGAAGTTATGATATTTTACATATGATGATATTATATTTTACTAATACATTTTTTAGTGAAAAGTGCAAAAAAAGAGTAGTATTACATAAAACCTAGTTGAAAATAATTTTAACAAAACAAAAAACAACATTCACAAGAAAAATTCTAAATATTATAAAATGTATATAATGTTCACCAAAATTAATAGTTAAAAGTTAATGATCTTTAAAAATACATACACAAAATTTTTCTAAAAGCTCACAAGAAAATTTAATCTTGGTAAAAGTTTTTTTTGTTGACATTTCGAATATTCAATGGAGAAACGATTTTCTTTAAAATTGCTACTTTTTCTGCATTTACGAAATCGGGTTCAACTGGTCATTTGCCAAAAAAATATTAAATTGATTGAAAACTGAGGGGTGCAGTAATTTAATGAATAGGAATTTCCGATTTTGAACCACTGTGCGATGTGGCTGAGTGGTTAGAGGTGCGTACTACCAATTCGTAAGACCTGGCTTTGTTCCCAGCTGCGAGCAATAACTAAATTAGAAAACACTTTTTCTAACAGCATTCGGAGGCCGCTTAAAATTGTAGGTCCCTCCATTTGAGTTATAAGATCGATCAGGACGCACACAACAAACTGCGTCAAGCGTCAATATATTATTATTATTATTATTATTATTGTATTGAGCAATGCGTAACAGAAAAACCAGAAGATTCCACATCTTTCAGTATGACGGAAGTAGAATATTCGAGAAAAATATATGAATGAAGATATGTGTGTTGCCATAGTCGCTCAATGAGTCAGTTGGCAATGTGAACACAAGCAATATTGGGTGTATTTGAGGGAGTACCCCGCAAGAAAATCAAAGTTAAGCGGACTAGCCATTATTTTTGAATTATATTTAAGAGTCCGTTGCACGAGAAAAATAGTTTGCACATCTTCCAAAGCTTTTATTTTTGGTTTTGTTATCTGCGCATATGTAATTATTGAAGATGTGGAAAATAATTAGCGAAATAGTGAATAAATATGAATTCATAAAACTCTTTTGGTTTATGTACAGGCAGTATTTTGGTAGCACCCACGTTTTTCGAAAAAAAAACACACAAAATCAATATACTCGCGAAACTAGGGGCCTAATATTGTATAATTTTTTTTTTAAAGGACCTCGAAATTTCGAATATCAATATGGGTGTCAAATAAAAGAGGAATTTCACTGGAATTGAAGGCAATTCAATTTTTCGGTGCACAAGGACGAATAGGTCTTGAAAATGTCCTTTTAAAATTGTATACTTGAATATCCTTAACAATTTTCAATAGCTATATTTACAAAGATAACTATATGTTAAGGACTAATATGTACACTACCACTTGCTCAAATTTCGTAGTTCTAACTTTTAGTTAAGACAAAAAAATGTATCAAAAGGAATTTTCAATCGTCAAAAAAGTAATATATTTTCAATTCCCCTTTTATTTGATACCCGTATTGTTATTATATGAGCAGATTGCACTGAACTTTTTAAATTGTTTTTTTTTTTTTTTAAATCCGAGATAAAAACTAAGAACGAAGTTTTACTATATTTTATTTATTTATTTATTTATTTTGCCCCTATATTTGAGTATTTATATAGATTTTTTCAGTGCTTTGATACTGTCTGGATTTTGTCGCACTATGTACCTAATTTTTACTGTTTTTCTTCAAAATAGGAAGAGGTTTACAAATCGTCCAAATATGAACGGTTTATTTTCAATTTTACGTAGTGATAGATAACGGGACCCACGGTAACCGCGATTCAATCTTTAAAAGGTCAGAATGGGTGGGTGCGGGATAAAAAAAATTTAATGTCGGGACGAGCAGAATAGGGATTGAATATTTAGTCCCACGCCCATCTCTAATCTGAAACTTATCAAGCCATTAAGTATAAGTCAAGAACTCACTTAGGCCTCTGATCTAGAGATGCATTGTCTATTCTTCATTTCCTTTGGTCGTTGGAGTTTTCGAACGCGGATATACCTTCTTTGAGATGCTTTTTTTTTTGGAATGAGTTGTTGGTTCCTTCTTACGTACGCGAAAGTTTTTAAGTCGAGAGCGTTCGGTTCTTTCCTATATATTAAAATTACAGCCTGAAGCTTATTTTTAGAAAAAATTTCTTCAAAGTTCTACTCTCTCTTAAATACTCTACTTACTCTCTACTTAAATATGTACATATGTATGGTTGGTCGTTTCTCTCTTAGTGCGAATTTCACCAACATTATCCCCGTAGTTCTGCTGGTGGCAAGAAACGACCGTATTCTAGCTATTCCTTGCATTACCAATTGTTAGGCAATTCGCTAGTGAATAGTAATGCCACTATCAACACTGAGATATATCATATAATAACGATTTTGTGCATAACTGGACGTTATACAGTTCGCTAGCCAAGAAACTAAATATGTGCGCCCACCGATTATTTTATAAAATATTTTAATGAAACCTATCGATTTGGCAAACTATTCTTATCTTCCAACTTAATTTTCGGAAAAATCTGGGCCCCTGAGAACTCCGGGCCCGGGCGGAAATATCTGACTAGTGCTCGCATCTGACAGTCGGCTAAATCGCTATCATTCCACCGGGGAAACCGATCTACAGGGATGTCCTTCTTAAACTTCGTAGTCGACGATGACCCATGTGTTCGTTCATTCAGTTCAAATTGTTTCGGTATTTGAAGTAGAATTTCGGCATAAAATAAACAGTTATGAAATTTAAAAAAAATGGGCGTACCACCGCCCACTTATGATGAAATGTTGTTTCTCTGTAGTCCCTTTAACAATCTCCACCAAACGCTGTGCAAACATTGCTTAGGGCCTCACCAAAAAACCCGTTGAAAATTTTTGAAATCGGACTAAAATTACTGCCACTTACCATATAACGGTATACTTCAGACCTAAGAAAACTCCGATATTTCAGTAACTAAACATGCCAATTTACAACAATCTTTTAGCAAGACACTACATTTTTGATTTTTGTTAATTGGGCGTGGCACCACCTAGTTATGACTACATAAGTATGTATATCGATAACCGCCTCACCAATTATTTCAATATCGCATAGCATATTATTGAAACTGTTTGACATCGGGAAAAATACTCTTCCTTATCATGCAGTTTACTGAAAGGTGAAAAAACGATATTTGATACGTACGCCGGGTATATACATAAAGTTCGGTTTCGCCCGAACTTATACTTCTTTACTTATCTTCATTTTTTTTTGTATGTATGTTACCGCATAACTTAAGACCACGTTAACCAAATTCTATAATTCTTTTTTAAAGGAAAGGTGCTACCTCAGAAGTGGTCGCAAACTTCGGTTTATTCGGTTTAGATCCCATCATTGAATCTTGAAGAAATTAACGATCCTCTGAAATTTGTATATGAGAGTTGAAGTCGGTTTCGTTTTTTTGCTTAAAAATTACTTGTTTTATTACTAGTTGGACACGCTATGGCGCCGCTGTGGGCACCGAGCGAATTTACGTTACAATGTTCATCATAATCTAACCTAACGTCAATTCCAGAAAATGTTTCAAAACGACTCCGCACAGTTGTCCTTAGACATTTTCCACAATACTTGTAAGTAATAAAGCATATCGCATTTACTTGGAATGATAAGCAATAATAACTATTTATGATTTTACGCCAACATTTATTAGACAGTTACAATGTACCTAAACAAATAAGAGCATTTAATCGATACTTTGTCTTTCGTCGCCTCATTGGTTCGTTGTTGGTTTCTACACTGTTGTTGCACGTTGAGTCGCACGAGAACAAGTGCGGCTAGAATAGAAAGAAGAGGTGTTTGCGGAAGGAAATTTATTTCACTCACCTTACTCGTAGAATGACTTGGTGCACCAGTCGCGAGCACATACGAAATACTACTCTACCAGCTAGATTGCCAAGTAGTTGTGAATGTTTTTTATCGCATACCTTTTTGGGACTGGTTGGGTAAGCGAAAAATTTGAAAAGCGGTGAGAGCTAGTAAGGAAGGGATTTGTTTAGGCAAAGGCATCGCTATACATTCTTACTTACATATATGTACATATGTGCATATATATTAGCTTATCGATTTCCATGTGCGCTAGTAGCACCGTCGGTAGGATGCGTTTGGGATCAAAACTATTGTACTTAATTTGGCAGCGTTTTGACTTTAATCGTGAAAAAGGCATCTTACAAAGAAGGGAGTTTATAACAAAAAAAAAAGCCTTAAAGCATAAGGAATATAATTAATGTGGCTTTTGCTCGCCTACTTTAACCATAACAAATAAATAAAGTTCTGCGTTGGTCCTTCTGAGTTTCCTTTCAATTTCATTGGTGTACATTTCATACCTTCCACAATATTTTCAATATTGTGAATAACAATATGAAATGTATGAGCAGTATCAGCCTGAATGAATGTAAAAATACCTACAGACAAAAAAAAAATGAATGCCAAATTTATATGCGCTAATCGGCAGAATACTATATGCACGCGTTTCGAAAGCACCGTCGCGACGCGTCCACGAAGGGGGGCAGCGCGTTGACAATACAAAGCAATACGAGCAGCACAAGCGAGTGGCGGCGATTGCAGCAGCAGCATAGCACAACACAACAGAGCAGAGTGGAGTACAAGAATAGAAAGCTAGAAGCGCAGACACCAGTGGGGTAGGAATTTTAAGAACATGGAGACAGGCAAACTTAAAAAAGTGAGGAGCGCGCCGCGTTATTCTCGTCCAGCGGCGCGCATGTTCCAGCGCTCGCAAGCATGTGGGTGGTTTTTGTATGCACGTACATGTGGCCGTGCGGAAGACAATA